GGCCAGCCAGGTGGCATAGTGGTTAAGTTCGCATGCTGCGCTTTGGCAGCATGGGGTTCGCAAGTTTGGATCCTGGTGCAGACCTATACACTGCTCACCAAGCCATGCTGTGGCAGCATCCTACATACAAAATAGAGGAAGATTGGCACAGATGTCAGCTCAGTGACAATCTTCCTCAAACAAAAAGAGGAAGACTGGCAAGAGATGTTAGCTCAGGGCCCATGTTCCTCACAAAAAAAAAAAAAAATGAGAGACAAAGAGGGGCAGTATATAATGATAAAAGGGACACTCCACCAAGAAGACATAACACTTATGCACCCAACACAAGAGCACCAAAGTACATCAAGCAACTATTAAGAAACCTAAAAGGAGGGGCTGGCCTGGCGGCACAAGCAGTTAAGTGTGCGCGCTCTGCTGTGGCGGCCTGGGGTTCGCCGGTTCAGATCCCGGGCACACACCGACACACCATTTGGCAAGCCATGTTGTGGTGGCATCCATATAAAGTGGAGGAAGATGGGCAAGGATGTTAGCCCAGGGCCAGCCTTCCTCAGCAAAAAAAGAGGAGGATTGGCAGATGTTAGCACAGGGCTTATCTTCCTCACAAAAAAAAAAAAGAAAAAGAAACCTAAAAGGAGATATTAACAACAACAGAGGGGGCCGGCCCCGTGGCTTAGCAGTTAAGTGTGCGTGCTCCGCTACTGGTGGCCTGGGTTCGGATCCCGGGCGTGCACCGACACACCGCTTGTCCGGCCACACTAAGGCAGCGTGCCACATACAGCAACTAGAAGGATGTGCAACTATGACATACAACTGTCTACTGGGGTTTTGGGGAGAAAAAGGGAAAAAAAGAGGAGGATTGGCAATAGATGTTAGCTCAGGGCGGGTCTTTCTCAGCAAAAAGAGGAAGATTGGCATGGATGTTAGCTCAGGGCTGATCTTCCTCACAAAAAAAAACCCCACAACAACACAATAATAATACTGAACCTTAACACCCCACTTACATCAATGGACAGATCATCCAAACAGAAAGTCAACAAGGAAATAGTGGATTTAAAAGAAAAACTAGACCAGATGGACTTGATAGATATATTTACAACACTCCATCCAAATACAGCAAAATACACATTCTTCTCAAATGCACGTGGAACATTCTCAAGGATAGGCCATATGTTGGGAAACAAGGCAAGCCTCGATAAATTTAAGAAGATTGAAATAATATCAAGCCTCCTTTCTGACCATAATGCTATGAAACTAGAAATTAACTACAAGAAAAAAGCTGGGATGGGCCGGCCCCATGGCTTAGCAGTTAAGTGCGTGCGCTCCGATGCTGGCGGCCTGGGTTCAGATCCCAGGCTCGCACCGATGCACTGCTTCTCTGGCCATGCTGAGGCCGCATCCCACATACAGCAACTAAGCAGCTAGAGGGATGTGCAACTATGACATACAACTATCTACTGGGGCTTTGGGGGAAAAGTAAATTAAAAAAAAAAAAAAAAAAAAAGCTGGGAAAGTGACAAAGATGTGGAGACTAAACAACATGCTACTGAACAACCAATGGATCATTGAAGAAATTAAAGGAGAAATCAAAAAATATCTGGAGATAAATGAAAATGAAAATGCAACATACCAACTCATATGGGATGCAGCAAAAGCAGTCCTAAGAGAGAAATTCATAGCAATACAGGCCTACCTCAAAAAATAAGAAAAATTTCAAATAATCAAACCTTAAACTACACCTAACAGAATTGGTAAAGGAACAAACGAAGCCCTAAGTCAGCAGAAGGAAGGGAAATAATAAAAATTAGAGCAGAAATAAACAAAATTGAAACAAACAAACAAAAAAAAACAGTAGAAGGGATCACTGAAACAAAGTGCTGGTTCTTTGAGAAGATAAACAAAATTGACAAACCCTTAGCCAGACTCACTAAGAAAAAAAGAGAGAAGGCTCAACTAGACATGAAAGAGGAGAAATTACAACAGATACCATAGAAATACAAAGGATTGTAAGAGAATACTATGAAAAACTATATGCCAACAAATTGGACAGTCTAGAAGAAATGGATAAAGTTTTAGACTCATACAACCTCCCAAAACTGAATCAAGAAGAAACAGAGAATCTGAATAGACCAATCACAAGTAAAGAGATTAAAACAGGAATCAAAAACCTCCCAAAAAATAAAAGTCCAGGACCAGATGGCTTCTCTGGAGAATTCTACCAAACATTCAAAGAAGATTTAATACCTATCCTTCTCAAACTATTCCAAAAGATTGAAGAATATGGAACGCTTCCTAACTCATTCTATGAGACCAACATCACCCTGATACCAAAACCAGACAAGGACAACACAAAGAAGGAAAATACAGACCAATATCGCTGATGAATATTGATGCAAAAATCCACAACAAAATATTGGCAAATCGAATACAGCAATACATTGAAAAGATCATACACCATGATCAAGTGGGATTTATACTAAGGATGCAGGGACAGTTCAACATCTGCAACTCAATCAATGTGATACTCCACATTAACAAAATAAGGAATAAAAATCACATAAGCATCTCAATAGATGCAGAGAAAGCATTTGACAAGATCCAAGATCCATTTATAATAAAAACTCTCAACAAAATGGGTATAGAAGGAAAGTACCTCATCGTAATAAAGGCCATATATGACAAACCCTCCGCCAACATCATACTCAATGGGGAAAATCTGAAAGCCATGCCTCTGAGAACAGGAACAAGACAAGGGTGCCCATTCTCGTGACTCTTATTCAACACAGTACTGGAGGTTTTGGCCAGAGCAATTAGGCAAGAAAAATAAATAAAAGGAATCCAAATAGGCAATGAAGAAGTGAAACTCTCGCTGTTTGCAGATGACATGATTTTACATATAGAAAACCCTAAAGAACCTATCGAAAAACTGTTAGAAATAATCAACAACTACAGCAAAGTTGCAGGGTACAAAATCAACTTACAAAAATCAGTTGCATTTCTTTAATAACGAATTAACAGAAAGAAAACTCAAGGATACAAACCCATTCACAATTGCAACAAAAGAATAAAATATCCAGGAATAAATTCAGCCAAGGAGGCAAAGACTCATGCAATGAAAACTATGGAACGTTATTGAAAGAAGTTGAAGATGACTTAAAGAAACGGAAAGATATCCCATGCACGTGGATTGGAAGAATAAATATAGTTAAAATCTCCATACTACCTAAAGCAATCTACAGA